TGTATTATATATTCAGAAGGTATTCTAATGTGCTGCTTGGTTTTCCCTATAATATATTTATTACTTATGCATTATGTTTAATGATAATCTTCATACTCTCAGATTACTATCATAGTGCTATAAAACCAAAGCATCCAATAAGTATGAATGTATGTCATTCTAAACCTTTAGAAGACTCAAATATCCAATTTAAATTTAATAAAAGATACTGTCACCAATACCATTAGTTTGAAAAGTAACTAAATTTCCAGATGAATTTTGTGGTGCTGAAATGTATCATAGAAAAAGAAAAATATAATTTTCAAATGCTCACCCGGTGGTGTAGAGATGAATCATAAAAGAAGTCAGATTTAATGAAAATTGCACAAGATTAAGACTAAAAAGAAAAATTGAGTCAAAAACTAAGTTTCAACTTAGTACTCTCATTGTGACACTTGATAGACTCTTTTATTATTCAGTTTGAATAAGTCACTTAAATTGTTTGTGACTTACAGGCCTTGATTATTAAATGGGGATAATTCAGTGCTCCTATTTAATAGCTGATTAGACTTTTAAAAACCTTTTTATTGCAAAGTAGATTGTCATCTTTAAACTGCTATTGCTAAAGAGATGTATATATTTTTCAAATTAAATGTGATTTTTATGATGGAACAAATTTGAAGTATTTTACTCACTGTACTGCCCATGAAAGACTGTTTTTCTCTGTATGATAGTACAGTTCTCTATAGAATTATAAAAATATTAGGGCAGAATTATGGTCATTCTCCTCTCCCAAGGCCTCACCTTCTTATACGTCCCTCTCTCTAATAAACCAAATGAAGAGGAGGCCAGGGGTTGGTACTTGATGACTCCAACATGACCCATTCCTATACTAGCATAATGAAAAACTCAACCTAAAGAAATGAAACATCACTTTATTCATTCAGGAAGTAACTGTGTCTTGGAAATATTTAGGGCTTTCTAATGAATACAGCTTGTATAGCTTTGTGTGCAGGAGCGATGCTAACATTACAGAAACAGAACAGAAGTGTGAAGATTTCTGCCTTTTGCAAGGTGGTTAAAATGGGGCAGTTACGCAGAACAAGGCTATTCATCCCAAAGAAGGAATAGTAGTGAGCTTAGAGCCATTTTAAATGTGATTAAGACATAGTCACATGTTTCATGTTTAAGAATGGTTCTTATGCTGTTAGTTTCCTGTGTACCTTCTCCTTGAGGCATGGGCCAGATGGATTATGTCCCATTTTACAATGCCTGATGGAGAATTATTGTATGCTCTCTATTACTGAAAATGTCTGTGACTCAGTACTTTAGGGTTTAGGTATAGATAATGTGATAAAATAAAGGCATATGTAGATGAAAGCATTTGACTCTCTTTGAGGTCTGATTTTCATATTTTTTCATTGGTAACCTTCCCATTATTTGAAATCCTGAGCCTAATCTACTTTTGAAAATGTATCTATGGTAGACTTCAAAAAGGTAAAATGAGAGTGATTTAGAATTTTCCCTTTTCATTTACTTGAACAAATATTAACGTTTATTTCTTTATTTTTTGCCTTCTATTCATAAAACAGTTTTCCTACAGTGGATAGAAAGAAGTATAGAGATTGTTCCCATTTTTTAAAAAGTTTATCATTGATTGAAGAAGGAAAGACTTTAGAATTTTGATAAAAAAGGGCCTCCCCTGGTGGCACAGCAGTTGAGCGCTGCCGGCAGCCTCTGCAGCGCCGGTTCGATCCCTGGCTGCCGGTGAGGGTCTCATATGGCATGACAGACCACTCCTGCCGCGCCCGCTGCTCCCCTCAGCAGTGTATATTTTGGCAGTCTGCCTGTTCTGTTCCCCGTTCTGTCTGTGGTGAATTCTCTCACCCTCCCGCACTTCTGACTGTACCCAGTGCTTGTATAAATAAATAAATAAATGGAAAAAAAAGTGCCAAACCAATATTAAAAAAAAAAAAAAAGAATTTTGATAAATAAGTTATAGGGGTATTTAGAGTGAAGCAAAAGAAAGCTTCTAGGGCCTCCCCGGTGGAGCAGCGGTTGAGCGCCGGGTTGCGAAGCTGTCCACAGCCTCTGCAGCGCTGGTTTGATTCCCAGCTGCTCCCCTTAGCAGTGTACCTCGGTCCTTCTGCCTGCTCTGCTCCCCGCTCTGGCTCTGGTGAATTCTGTCACCCTCCCGCGCTTCTGACTGTACCCAGTGCTTGTATAAATAAATACATAAATCTTTAAAAAAAAAGAAAGAAAAAGCTTCTAGCTGTGATGATCAGGCAATACTAGAGAAAAACGTAGAGCTTTTTTGAGCTTTCCAGATAGGAAAACTATGGCTAGCAGTGGGGAAAGGGGCAGTTCATTGGCTGAAGCTCATAGAGGCAAGTTCTAACTTGGCATGTTCAAGGAAGAGTGAGGATAGACTATAGCATGGTGTTAAAGAGCTCATCTCTGGACCCAGACTGCCTCAATTCAGTATTGTTCTTTAATTGCTGTGTGACATTGGACAGGTTTCTTAACCTCTCTTAGCTTCAGAGAGAGTAAAACAGTGGTACTAATTATACATAAATCATAGGGCTGTTATGTAGAATTTGCAAAAAGCACCTTCAAATACCGATAGCACAAGTTAAGTACTAAGGGAGTATAATCTGGCATGATGATGAGGTTAAGTATGAGGGCAAGCATAAAAGACAAGGTTGTAAAGAAGATTGCAGTGAGCTTATGGAGGGACTGGGTTACATATCGTTTGCAGCAGGGAGTTCAGGAAGCTCTAAGAACTAGAAAATATCATCAGAGTATTTACAAAAATAATCTAGCAGAATAGGTTAAAGAAGAGACAAGCAGCATGGAGACTGATAATAGTCCAGAAGATGAAGCCTTTCAAGACCATGACTCAAGTGAGAAAGGATGGTTTTGGATTAGAAAAAGTTATAGACCTTGGAAACATTTACCATGAAATAATTGTTAGTCTGGGGACTGTCCTACAAGGACATAGAGGGTGTGAGCCAAGCCTGAGTCGTGGGAGAATTCAAACATACAGTATTCTTAGGAAGAGCTGGTAGTAATGGGTGCAAGAAATTGAAATCTCATTTGAATGTCTGGGTATTTAGAAACCCCGGGGTTCTGGATCTGTAATTGCACATCATAGTAAACAGGATGTGTTCTGATGAGAGAGATTTAGCCTTCCAATTATCCTAATTAAATTTATCCAATTCTAATGACACCTTTAATATGGATCCTGTCAACGGTATTTGGCACTGAAAATGCATATCTAGTGCTCTAAGAGAAATCAGGCCTGCATATAGAACCAAAGACACAGAGGAGAGAGTTTACTGTGAGAGTAAATAAGGTAATAAAGAAGAGAATACACAAAGTGAATATATTATAGTAACTTTTTTCCCTATCTCTAAGAGAAAATATGATACCATCAGAATGAAAACATGTTCCTATAGTGCAGTGGACTCAGTGAAACATGGGCAGTGGCAGAACTTCGTAGCTCTGCTAGGATAATGTAAAGTCCCATTTCACTGCTCAAGTGCCAAGCAGAGTTTATAAGAGATATGCTGAGTATTTAGAAACCCTGGGGTTCTGGATCTCTAATTGCACATCATAGTAAACAGGATATGTTCTGATGAGAGAGATTTAGCCTTCCAATTATCCTAATTAATTTTATCCAATTCTAATGACACCTTTAATATGGATCCTGTCAACACACACAGAGTTAATTTTTATTATTTGTATACTTTTCTTGAACAATGTTCCTTTTTCATCTGTGTCTTTTCTATTCCATTACATTCTAATTGCCTGTAGCTAAGGAACAGGCCTTCTGTTGGTTTCACTCCCTTGCAGTTTTCACATTTACTCATGGATTGATTTCAATGATTTATTCAGTCAGTGAGTCCAGCCACTGTATAGTTCTTACCCACAGTGAGCTTATTATCTAATTGGGGAGGAAAAGACAGATACATGTAGTAGAAGCAACAATAAAGTCACTTATAGAAAATGATGAGATGATGGAAGAGGAACATTTAATCATGGATATGTAAAGGGACAGTAAGGAGAGGTAGTTCAGGGAGGACTTGGGGACATTTGCTTACAAGTATATTAGGGAAGATAGGAAAATAACAGTGAATACAGCATGAGCACAAATACATAAGAAGTGGTTTGGCAGATTGGTATTGCTATAGCACAAAATGTGAAAGGCAGAGTGGTGAAAGATAAGCCCATAGGGAAAGACTGCTGGAGGGACTTTCATGCAGTACTTAGAAGGCCAAAGTCCATTCAGTTGTCTTAGATTAGAGAGAGCCTTAAAATAGTTTTCTCAGTTGTGGTGGGGTTAAATTTCACATTTGATGGCTGTAGGGAGGATGAATTTAAGGGCAAAACATTTTGACACTATTCCATATGGGAGAAGTTGAGAACCTAAACCAAGACATCACTGTAGAAATGGTGATGAAGTGGCAAAATTAGGAACACTTTGTGATATAAAATCAGCCCTATATGTAATCAAGGCTGAGGAGAGAAAGATCCTGGTATAATTCTTATATGATTGGGTGGCTGATAGAAGTCTATTTAGAAAATACAGGAAGAGAGAATAAAGTAAGTTTATTTTTGATTTTCTTATCATTAACATGTTGAAATTTTTTTTTAATGTGCCTATGTTATTTATGAAATTAATAAATAATGGTTACCAGAGATAGTTAAATGACTAGAAACATTGTGGTATCAGTATTCACCTTCGCCTTGTCTCCTCTTTGGAAGCAGCAGTGTCTTGACTGAAATTTTTTACAATATCCTGAGACATCATCTGTCATGACTCTTGCACTGTGTTGTAATCCTTGATTTTTTGTTGTGTGTATCCCTGTAATCACAGTTCAGTGTTTGATAACACAGTCACTCCATTAAATGTGAGGTAGTAAGTGGGTGAATAGATTATTTTAAAATGTAATATTATTTGATTAGAAAAAGTTTTTGTGGCTTTTTCTCATTCTGATTCTTCTGTTCCAATCTCCTAGCGCCTTCTACTGGAAGAATCTCAAACAGTGCAACTTCTTCTGGAGCATTGGCTCCGGCCCACTCAGCAGTGGGGCAGCCCCAACCCACTGACCAGGACACGTTAGTGCAAAGAGCTGAACACATTCCAGCAGGGAAACGCACCCCTATGTGCGCCCACTGCAACCAGGTCATCAGGTGGGTCATTTGCTTTTGAAATTTTCTTAAAAGTACTTAATGCCAATGTTGTTTTTTTTTTTGGTATTCTGAGAGATCTGAAATTTTATTAGTGAAAATAAATCTCACTTTATTTCTGTGAAATAGTTACTGTTGAAATAGGTAAATATAAATATGCATTTGCTAGAATATATTTTAATAAAAAATAAGTCTGGCCTCTGAAAATACCAGTGCTGTCAGTTACAAAATCTGATTAAAGCTAAGGAAAAATAAAGATCATTTTTATTCCTTGATTTTTTTTTTCCAAGAAAAATAAAAGTTTAAGTCTTGAAAGAACCTTAAGGATCATTTATGCCAACTTAATTATTATATAAACTGCAAAACTGAGGATTTTCATTTAGATGAAAATAGCTAGTGACATAAAATAAAAATCTGACCACAGAGAAAAGGTTAGATTTTTGAACATGTAAGCACTTAAAAAAATAACTTTGATCTGTTCATAAATGCTTTAAATTTTAGTTTAGGTCATAAACTGCTTCTTTAAAATTCTTTTTATCCAAGTCTTTTTTCATTATCTCTTAAATTCGAGAAGGAAAAAAGATCCGTAGAACCTAAGTGAGCACATGGCTGGCACTTAGTAACTATATGAACATTTCTTAGTAAGTGGCTTTTTTATTTATTTAAAATCTTACGAGGTTTCTATATGAATTGTGACTGCAGAGATCCCACCAGCAAAACCTTGGTGACTGTGAATTATCTTATTGGCAGTAACAAATGATCATTTGAAATGACTGCGCAATCCTCTGCTTCACTTTTATTTTTGTTGTTTTGAGATAGTTAAAACAGTGCCTTCTCGAACGTTGAATAAGGTTAAGAGTTGCATTTGCATTTCCCCCTCCCCTGTTACATAAGTTATATCAGTATTACTTAGGATAATGTTTCTAGTTAATACTTAAAATGGAGCCCAAGGAGTCACAGTAGTTCCTTGTAAAGAACAAGATATAATCTTAACCCATTTCTCCTTAACCCACTACTAAACAATAAACGTGTCAACACAACGCAAAGTATGTGATTTCAAATAAAATAGCTTTTGTATTTTAAAGGTATTCTGTGTTCATTGTGACATTTCAAAAATATAGAAAAACAGAAAGCAGAAATAAGAGTTTTTATGTAATTTCACTTCCCAGGTAACTGCTATTGGTATTTTGGTTTACACTTTTAAAACACACACTCATCAGAACAGATGTTGACTTACAGAAGTGGAATCATAATACAGTGTTTTATAAACTATTACTTTTCACTTAAATTGTATTTGGAGTAAGGAGTACCTGTGTAATAAGAATTAGCTAATAGTTGTGGCTGTGGGGAAAACTACTCATTACTCGGAATAATGTCATTTTGGTTAGTCATTTTCCTGAAAGTACTACTATCAGGCTACTGCCTAACAGGACCATTTAAACTGTTACAAATTCTAGTGTAGTACTGCTTTGTCCTAATAAAGAAAACATTTTTAATTACTAACTACATTTAGTTGTTATATTTTTAAGTTTACTGTTAATAAAATAAAAATAGCTCTGACTTGTAACATTGCTTCTTACAATATTTTGGTTACTTAGATTTGTGTTCAGGGTACTATATTCTGAATTAAAAACACACCCGTTTTGGAGTCACAAAGGAGTTACAATTGTTATTGGTGTGCTGTTACCAAGTAGTTACTGATGAATTAACAAAACATCAAACCACATCACGTGTTGGTTTATGTTGTCTGATTATCGAATTCTGTGTCATCCTAAAAAAAATCACCTCTGCCAGCATTTCTGACAAATTTGAGCATAGAGAAAAATATGAAGGTCAAAATAGAAATTACATTTTCTACCCCTGTCTGTCTTGGTTCACATGTAATGATAGACCAGGAGGTAATTTTAATGCAATTGTCCTGCCACATAAAATAAATATATTTTAATTACATGAGTGGTCACCACTTATTGCTCCCTCATCTGTTAAATTTTATATTGCTTTGGATTATCCCAGCTCTTGTAATCAGTTAAACATTAAAGCTTCATTTACTAGGAAGTTAATAGGAACAGGGATTAGTCACGTCAAGATCGTATAACAGTAATTAACATAGCACATTCATTCGGTGCTCAAATGTTAAAGCAGCTTAAATAGATTGTGGTTAGTTCAGAGAGCTAGTCAAAGCATAATTCTAGTTCCTGGCCTCAGTGTCAGTATCACTTACCAAAGCAAGGAGGCATTAGATCAAGTGACATTCTCTTGAACACCTGTTTTAAACAAGCTGCAGTTGCAGGCTTGATAGTTTCAATACAGAATATTGTGACCTGGCAAATGCTGAGAAGTTTAAGATTTGTTTTATAATTTCAATTGTTAGTTTTCCAAAGTCTGTCATTTATTTTGTCTTGTTTTGATTCACTTATATTTTCTAAATCAAATTTTCCCAAACATTTTGGTAAAGGCAAACTAAGGCAAATTTTGAGTTTTATTTTATTGGTTTTGTAAACATAATCATTATTTGGAAAACCTCAGAAACCTGAGTCATTAAATATTAGTACTGAACTGGTTTTCTCTATATAGCACATACTTAGTGTAAAACTTCATGAATTACTTTATGTGGATATGATGTTTAAGTTTTTTGATTTATGTGAATCTTGAAAAGATTCTATTTATGCGTCTCCATTTTGTTGAAAAGATTCTAAATGTTTTCCCCAGTTGTAATATTTAACCATTACTTTAGTTAGTTGCCTTTTATCCATATATCTTTTCAGGATAGGAATTATATTAAGAATTGCATTTTAGGGAATTCTACTGAAGTTTTAAGTTTGCTGTGAACATTTCCAATTCATTTGAAAGAAGTCTCTCTATTTGACTCTTTATATTTGTGAGTAGATTAACTCTTGGAGTGCTGGCATAATAGGAAACAGAAAATAAGGTTAATGTAGCCAAAGCCAGTTTAGTTTCCTTGTAATTCAAGTACCATAAAATCCCTTACTTCTTTCACAAAGATGTTAAATGTGAATTTTCCATTCAACTCCAAGTAATACAAGTGATCAGTAGATTTTAATGCTGTTACATGTAGCAATCAAGTAATAATTTCTCAAAATTTGTTGACCACTTCAGAAAATTGAGGCAATGAAAATATGCATATTTGCCTGAACTCATGGAGATAGTGAATGGTAGACCCTGAATTTGAGCCAAGATCTGTTGACTTTAAATTGTGTTCATATATTACTACTACTTAGGACAATGTTTTTAATATTATGAAGAAAAAAAATAAATATAGAACTCTAAATGAAGTATGGCTATAATTTTGTGTAAAGCAAATACAAATCCCAAAATATAGAAATATATAGTGCATAGCTCTTATGAACATAAATACATACAGTAACATTAAATTGAATTAAATTGGGGGAGGCAGAGAAACAGTTTGAGCAGACCTGCCATAACATGATGTGTGGCAGTGTCCTATTCTTAAGTGTTTCAATATATAAGTAAGAAAGGGAGGAAATAGTTGATAGGATGCATAATTAAAAATTCCTACCTCCCTGCCAGAATGATTTTGTGCCACATGCATTCTTAGAGGGCTGCATATAAATGCTTGGGTTTCACTTTTCCAGTTTCTCATCTAATGTAGAAATAAAGGTTTTCTATAAGAAATACTCATTGCATATTTTCTTTCCTTACCCCCAGACACCAGAGATACAGATATCAAGACATACTCTTTTTCGTAAGGGGGTTACTATTATAGACTGACTTGTGGTCCATCAAAATTCATATGTTGAAGTCCTAACTGTCCACTACCCTGGGAACTAACCCTACTGACACCTTGATCTTAGACTCTTAAACTCCAAAATTGTGAAAAAATTAATTCCTGTTGTTTAAGCTGCCTCATCTGTGATACTTTGTTAGGCAACTCTAGCAAACTAATGCAGTTAGACTTTCATAAAAAATACAAACAAATGGGCCTCCCTGGTGGCACAAGGGGTTAAGACACAGCACTATGAAGCTCCTCACAGCCACTGCAGTATAAGCTCAATCCCCAGCCAAGAAGGTGACCCACATGTACAGCAGACCTCTTCTGACTCACCCACTGCTCCCCTCAGCAGTGTATTTCACTCAATCCTCCTGTTCTGTTCCCCACTCTGCTTCTGGTGAATCCTCTCACCCCCCCACCCTTCTGGCCTGTACCCCAGTTCTTGTATGCATAAATAAATAAATCTTTAAAAAAATACAAACAAATGATTAGCCATATCAGTGTGTTAAGTCTATAGTAGAAATACATCAGAATCCTATTGGAGCAAAGGGGAGAGCTAGGGATTATCTTGCTTCAGCAAACCAATTTCTTTTATTAGAAAAGAATGGCAAGCAAAACAATTTAGAAGTGTACTTATAAAATCAACACTTTCATGCAACAAATATCCATTGAAAACTTAGCAAGTCTTAGCTAATGCTAAGGTGGTAATCATATTACAGTATATAAAGGTATCAAATCAACACATTGTACACCTTAAGCTGACAAACTCTTATGTCCATCATATCGCAATAAGAATTTTTTTTTAAATAGGAAACTTCATGCAAGTTGCCATACTGGCACCATAGTATATAAAGATAAAGAGGCATTTCCTTTTTCCATGTATTTTAGCATCTGATAAATGTCAAAGCTCTGACACAATAACCATAAATTAATAACCTAAGTATTTTGAGAGGCACATAGTACCACTACAATAATATAAGAAATATATAGGAACTATATCCTTTAAAAAGTCCTAACTCGAGGAGAGGGCAGATCAACATGGCGGCGAGAAAACAATGCAAGTAAGATCTCCCATTAAAAAAAAAGTTAATAGGGAGAAAAAGCGGCAGGTCCCAGTGAGAACTGGGACACGGAAGATAAACGGGCGACTCCAGCAAACTACCCAAGAAGAAAGTTGCCATAAAAGAGGACTAGCAGGGAGGAAAGCTCAGAACCCTGCTACCCTCCCCCACCCACAAAGTCGGCACTCTCC